ATCTCTGATCTACTAAGCAGAGAGCTCTTTTTTTTTCTTTCTTCTTTTCTTCATTTTTTTTTAGAGAACATGAATCTCCCATTTGAATGTTCTGTGTTTACTGGTCTGTGGGTTTGAGATATGTAGTTGTGTTGCTTGTTTTACATACACATACAATATCCAATATCCTATTCTGTATATTGCTTTTTTCTGTTCAAAAGTAGAGTTGTAATTAAGTAGGAGAATGTCAGCAATTACCTTCAGCTTTTTAGAGTAGACAGCATTAGGGCTCAGGGTATTTGATGCAATTTCTCTCCACTCTATTTCCATCTTCAGTGTAGACTACAGGTTTTCTACCTCATTTTTCTCTTCCATTGCACTCATTCCCCTTTCCTCTCTCCCTTCTTTTCTCTACAAATGCCCCTTTAAACTTATGCCCCTCTCATTTATATGTATCTCTAGAAAACTACCTGTCTCCATACTAACCTTATCTTATAACCTCAATACGTTCAGCTGATAGACAAATTTTAAAAGTACTGCTCCAAACCACAACTGAAATCTACATCATTCAACAATTCTTACAAGTCCTGAACCCAGATAAGTAACTCTTAATGAAGGATCAGAACACCAGCTACCTAGTCAACCAAAAACACAGGGAACCGTGTTACAAAGATCACAGGTTCCCAAAAGATAAAACTAAAAAAGGTCTTCAAATGGACAGAACATATCACTGAAATATCAGGAATTTGCAAATCCATCACAGAAAACAACCATACAACAGAGCAGAAAAACAGGGACTTAACAAGACACTCACAAGATGCATTTAAAACACTGCTGATAAATTAATAAAAAGTTTGACAATGTATACAAAACAATTCCTGAGCATGACAAGGTTAACCAAAAAATAATAGAAGATTTCATGGAGAACACAAACAAGAAGCTAAATGAAGAGAGGGCAAATGAGTTCAATGAAAAAACAGCCATCTAGTTAAAGAAGATTAAGGAAAACACAAAGAAACAAATCAGTGACGTAAAGAAGTCCTTAGAAACGCCAAAAAAAGACTTTAATAAAGAGGTAGAAGCTGTTACATATGATAATATCAAAAACAGAAATAAAAAATAAAGTAGAGAGTCTGTGTGGCAAAATAGACAATATAAAAGACAGATTCAGGACTAGAAGATAGAGCAGATGTAACAGAGGGAGAGGAAATAACTATACAGAACAAATCCAAAAAAACAAGAACAATCTCAAGAAACATGATACCCACAAGACACTATATCGAAAATGAACTTTATAACTTTGTGGGAGGGAGAGAGGTGGGGGGAAGGAAGGGATAGTGGGAGAACAACAAAGGAGGGGGGATACAATGCTCGACAAGAAATGTACTCATTCCCTTACTCATGTAACTGTAACTCCTCTGTACAGCGTCTTTACAATAAAATAAAATTTAAGAAAAAGGGGGCTGGGAAGGTGGCTCAGTGGTAGAGCGCTTGCCTTGCATGCCTGAGGCCCTGGGTTCGATTCCTCAGCACCACATAACCAAAAAGAAAAAAGCCGGAAGTGGTGCTGTGGCTCAAGTGGTAGAGCGCTAGCCTTGAGCTGAAGAGCTGAGGGACAGTGCCCAGGTCCAGAGTTCAGGTCCCATGACCGGACCCCCCAAAAAAAAATTTAAGAAAAAGAAAACATCAAAAAAAATTCCTTCAGAACTTAATTCAAATCTGTGGCTGATAGGTATCCAGGAATGAAAAGCAACAGGCAACTAAGGGGATAGAAAACATTCCACAGAATTCTAGTAGAAGACTTCCCAAACGTCAAAAAGATAGACCCATTCAGATACAAGAAACATTTGGAACATTGAACAGATAAGAACAGAACATCCTACTGCCACACTGTAACTTGCACAGCATAGAGACCAAGGAAAGGATCCTTAAAGCTGCCAGATTGAAAAGGACAAAGGACAACCAGTCAGATTAACTACAGATTTCTCAGCTGAGATCATGAAAGCAATACACTATGGCATGTTGTATTCCAAATACTAAAAGCAAACAACTACTACAAGAGAATACTGTACCCAACAAACCTCTCCTTCATAACTGAAGATAAATAAAAACATTCCATACTAAAGAAAAATTCAAACAATTTATCTGTACCAAACCAGCACTACAGAAGATACATAAAGACGTCCTACATACAGAAAGTCAACAAGAAAACCATACTGGCTGAGAAAATGCTCCTTACCAGAGAACCAGATAAATATATAGTGAGAATAAATGAGGCACAGCCCTTAGGAAGGTGAGTATCATGGAAGGAGTTACCAGACATTTCTCAGTCCTAACTCTCAATATAAATAGCTTTAACTTTCCAATTAAAAGATACAGAATGACTAGTTGGATCAAAAAGCAAGACCCATCCATCTGTTGTCTACAAAAGACACATTTTTCTGATAATATCAAACACATTATTAAAGTGAAAAGGTGGAATAAAATCTTTCAAGGAAGTGACTCCCATAAACAGGCTGGCGTAGCAACGCTAATATCAGATAAAACAGATTAAAAACAGATAAAAAAAATTAAAATTATTAATAAGAGGAAAAAAGGACATTCCATACTAATAAGGTAATTCTCCTACAGGAGGATATAACAAGTCTAAATATCTATGCATCAATGCTAGAGCACCCAACTTCGTCAAGCAAATACTACTTGACCTAAAAACACACATAGAAATAAACTCACTGATTGTTGTCTAACTCAAGCCATCACTGTCTCCTTTGGATATACCATCCAGGCAAAAACTGAGCAAAGAACCCTCAGACCTAAATAACTGCATTGATCAACTAGATTAACTAGACATCTACAGAATATTTTACTCAACAGCATCAGAATATACATACTCAGCAGCCCATGGAACAGTCTTCAAAATAGATCATATCTTATGCCACAAAGCAAATATGTGATGAAAAGTTTAAAAATCTGAAAAAAAATTAATGCAGATTTAAGGAAATGGGAAAATGTTTTATGATCCTGGGTTAGAAAAATTAGCATCATGAAAATGTAAACAATGCCTATAGCAATTTACAAATTGAATGCAATCCCCATCAAAATCACAACAACATTCTTCAATGAAACAGAGAAAATAATCAATAAATTCTTATGGAATAAAATATCCTGAACAGCAACAGCAATCCTTAGTGGGAAGAACACTGTTGGAAAAATATCAATACCAAACTTCAAATTCTATTACAAAGACACAGTAATAAAAATAGCTTGGTACTGGCACAGGAACAGGGCTGAGAACCAATGGAACAAGATAGAAGACCCAGAAATGAACCCACACTTATAGCTACCTCCTTTTTAATAAGGGAGTCAAAAACACAGGTGGAAGAAAGACAGCTTCTTCAACAAATGTTGCTGGCAAAATTGGCTATACACATGCAGAAAACTGAAGCTAGACCCTTATATATCACCCTGTACCAGAATTAATTATGAATGGATCAAAAGCCTCAATATAAGGCCAGATACGATGAAAATATTACAAGAAGGGATAGAAGCAACACTAGGGGTTCTAGGCATGGGTTAGAACTTACTACATAAAGATCCAGACTCACAACAAATCAAAGAAAGACTGGACAAATAGGATTGCATGAAATTGAAGAGTGTCTGCACGGCACAGGAAATAGCTTATAGAAAGCCCACAGGAAGGCAAAAGATTTGTTTTTTTACCAGCTGTGTGTCAGACAAGGGTCTGGTATCTAAAATATACTTAGAGCCCAAAAAATTAACCCACCCCAAAATAACAACAACCCAATTAATAAATGGGCTAATGACTTAAAGAGAGACTTCTCAGAATAAGAAGAATGGCCAATAGATACATGAAAAGATGTTCAACATCTCTGGCTATTAAAAAAATGCAAATAAAACTGGAATTGAGATTTCACCTCTCCCCAGTTAGAATAGTATGATCAAGAAAACTAACAACAACAGATGATGGTGGAGATGCAACACAAAAGGAACTTTATTACACTGTTGATAAGAATGTAAACTTGTTCAATCACTCTGGAAAGCAGTATGGAGTTTCCTCAAAAGAATAAACATAGAGCTTCCCAAAGACGAAGCAATTCTACACCAGGGAATTTATCCAATAGACCACAAACAAGGCCATACTAAAGGTACCAGTATAACCATTTTCCATTGCAGTGCTGTTTACCACAGCCAAGCTATGTCATCAACCCAGGCACCCATCAGTGGACAAATGAATTAAGAAACTGTGTTACATATACACAATACACAACAACAACAACAAAAAGCTATGTGTGGTAGTTAACATCTGTCATCCCAGCTAAGGCAGGAAGTACAAATAAGATGATTATGGACTAACCTGAGTAAAATGCAAGACTCAAAAGTAACAAGAATAAGATAGAGTGGATATGTGGCTGAAGTAACAAAGTATCTGTCTAGCAAGTACAAAAACCAAAACAGTAACTAAATCACTGAGTATTAATAATAAAAAAAACATATTAAATTACAACCTATCAAAAATATGCTTAAGCTACTATTTCTGGACATGTGAGAAACTTAAATAGTGATGACTATTGTTATTACTACTATTATGTATCTAACAATAATTTATACTCATGTTCATTATATATAAAACTTTTAAATATGAAAAAAAGCTTAAACTACAAAGATTTTAAGAATGAGAAAAATGTGAAAATAAATAATAGCCTTTTGAGCATATATTAGTTAATAAAGCCTGTCTACATGTCTAACTCTCAAGGGTGTCTAGATGTCCAGACCCATGTCTAGAACATGGGTCATGAGATCTGTGAAATCATTTGGTACACGATGGACAAACACATAGGCTTCTTATATACATTTTGTTGGCTGTCTATGACCATCTGCCTGTATGCCTGTATTGATAACTTTGTATGGTATTATAAATATTCAAATGGTGCTTGCAAAACAAAGGTTCTCCACCCTAGTAGATGTACAAGATCACATACAGAGTGCCTTCAAATCCTTACCTGTTGGAGGCAGGCAGTCTTTCCAGTCAAAATAGCCTGCATAAATTCCAGGTTCCAAGGAACCAACAATGGGATCTGCTTTTAGTTCAATGTAATTTTCAAAGAGTCTTTGGTCCAGTTCTTTCAGGGAGGTCATGCTAACCTAAAATCACAAGTAAAGTATATTAGCTGCCAAAGATTCTAGTAATAAAAAAAGGTGGGGAGAAGAAAGTTTTTCAAGCTTTCAAATCTAAAGAATACTTGTGTGAGAGAAAGGATATGACATAAAATTTCTCACATGCAACCCTGGAACCTGAGATCACCAGACAGAATCTACAGGAGTAAGGGGAAAACCCCAAGAAATCTGTAGTTATCCAAGATGTCATTCCCTTAACAAAAATCATTTTGGGCATGCAAACATTCAGTGTATTTGGAAAAGGTTCTAATCTAATGTTAAAGAAGTCAGAGTGAGAAACAATTAAGGAAAACAGTGACAGACAAATGTAAATTCCCTCTCATCCTTCTTTCTCTCTCTCTAATCTCTAAACCATAAACCTAAATATATCATTATAGCCATTCTGGGAATGGAAATTACAAGTGATTAATACAATTTTTCTTTTGACATAAGTTCTCACTATATAGCCCAGAAGAGACGCCAACATGAGATCTTCACCTCAGATTCCCCAATTATAGCCTGAGTCACACAACATCTGACCAAGAAAATCAACAGTCCAGTCAGGGAAGAAGAAAAATACTTCTAAAGGGGTTATAAGGGGTATAAAGGGTATGAAAAGGGAGAGGAAAAGGAGGGGGAGAAAGGGAGAGGGGGTGAGAGAAACAGAGAGAGAGAGAGAGAATACACTGATGGTGCTGATGGTTATAAGGGGTATAAAGGGTATGAAAAGGGAGAGGAAAAGGAGGGGGAGAAAGGGAGAGGGGGTGAGAGAAACAGAGAGAGAGAGAGAGAATACACTGATGGTGCTGAGAGAGATTACACAAAGAGGAATCAAGGGCAGGAGTCCTGGTGAAACAGGTATATTACCTTATTACAACTCAAGCATCTTCTTTAATAAAAGTAATAATGCAATTCTTTGACTCAGAAATAGACTTATTCACTAAATCCCCACTTAAAAGAACATCGTTGATGGTATATATGTTCAGGTATTTGTTAAGTGTTTTGAATATTGTACTTGAGTATACTTATTATATAGTTTTCTCTTCTGTAAATCAGAAAAAGGCAATTTATCTTTTAAATTTTAACATTTTTCCATTTGTTTTGTTTCTTCCCTTTCCTTTTATCCATTCCCATCATATCTGAAACCTATTACCTGTCTTTATCATTTTCTTTTGAATCATAGTTTCATTTCCTTCTTATATACCCCCATGTAGATAGGTAGATAGATAGATAGATAGATAGATAGATAGATAGATAGATAGATAGATAGATAGATAGATAGATAGATAGATAGATAGATAGATACAGATATATCTATAAATGCAATTCTCATATTCTTTCATATCCTTGTTTCCTTACCCCTAAATCTTCCTTGATTAATTACTAACAATAAACTCTGAAAGTAAGAAGTGGCACTTTTAACAGAAGAAAATTGTAAAGCATCAGATAACATTTTTCAGACTTATCCAACTCCTGCTTTGGGTTTCACTTGCTGACTTACTAAGCTTATTATACTCCAAATTTGAATTATTTCATTTTCTGTGAACATTTTACAGTTAAGTACATCCACACTGATTAGGCTACACTTGTTTGAGGTAGTCTCCTAATAGGATAATTAACGTATTTGGTATAGACTGTGTAAGACTCAGTTCACATAGGACAATCTCAGGGGTGCTGGGAAGACCTTCGTTGTCAAAAAACTCTTCCACTGATATTTGAAATTACATCATATCATGCTAAGTTACTCATTTTCCCCCACATGCCAACAAATCCACAATAAGCATCTAGAGATAAAAACAGACACAATAATGATAGATAATTAAAGATAAGGAAAATGGGGGGAAATAAGGAGACACAGACAAAAAAGACAAAATGCATCATAATGCAGAGTAGTAAGTGCTACCTAGTGACAGGAATAAAACATGCTAGGAAGAAAAGAAGACAGGATCCATGTTTAAGTGGGAGGACAAATAAGAAAGGCCATGAAAGGCTTTAGGATGCATGGGTATCTGCATCTTGAATGGCTTTAGAAGATAATCAAGACTTTATAAAGTAAGGAGTCCAGCCAGAACCATACTAGCCACAATATAACAGCATGGCTAGCTGGTACTAACTGAATACTTGCTGAATGAGTGAATGAGAAAGAAAGATGAGTGGACTGAATGAGGCATTCTGGAATGCAAGAAGCTAAAGACATGAGGTTAAGATGAAAGTCCCATACAAACACCGGCCGAGGGAGCTTAAGTTTCAGTCTTCTACACAATCAGATCTATTTCTGACAGTTTCCTGACAGTTTGTGTAGGATTAGTTGGAAAGCCAAAATATTTAGAGCTAAAACAACTTGCATGGTAAGTTTCTACAGCATTACAATGGTCTTATGATGAAAAAAAGCATGAACTCAGACAGAAAAAGCAAATCAAGAGAAATGGAAGGAGATCCAGAAGACAAGTCAACTATGCCTAGCTTTTTGAATAAAATAAGGTCCCACTAACTTTTTACCAAGATCTTTTGGATCGCTGCAGCCCAACTAACATTGCATGGATACATTACCGAACTCAGACAAATTCCTGATAATTTCTGACTAAGATTTTAAATTCCAAACTGGATGAATTGGTCTATATTAACTGTTGTGTAAAAATAGCTTCTAAACAAAATTCAGCTAATTTGTATGGAGGATGAAACACATACAAATATAGAAAACAGAGCCATAAGGAAACAAAGCTGATCTATTTCTTATCTATTAATTCAAATGACTTTAAACTTGAAATTTAAATCTATTCAATTAAGCCAAAAATAACCAATTACATAAAAACCGGTATACATGGTTCATACAAAAGACACATTTAAAATTGATTGCTGAACATATGATAAATACAAGGTGCCTTCTTTATATTCCCCATGTCTTGTATTTGAAAGAGACTTATGGAGACTTAAGTAAAACTTTAAACATGGATTTAATGGCAGACTTATTTAATATCTATTTGCCTAAATCAGAAGAAAATCTTCAATATCAAAGCCACATTACATAGTTTTTTTTGACGAATGCGAAGACATGTTGAAATAATAGCCCATACATATATAAAATAACAGCCCATATGTATTTATATGTAGAATAGATATCAATCTCTATATATCTACTGTAACTTGTATGCCTATTTCAGAGTTTAAACTCTGTATTTCTTTTACTAAGTACATTCAAAACTAGCTCTTCTAGAATATAAGAAGTGAATAAACAGAGGAAAAATGCTAATAATCTAAAAAGGGCAAAGCATGCAAATTACAATACATGAATAAGTACTTTTACCTATCAAAATTAAAATTCTAATAGGAAATGGCAAAATGTGGTGAGATTGTCTACCCAAAAGCAATGTGCCAACATTTGTCAAGGGTCTCTGGAGCTACAAATCCACTTCTAGATGACTATCACAAGGCAATAATTAGACCTGAGATCAAAGATCATCTAGGTTCTTACCAACAAAAGGACAGTACAACATGAAACTGGCCTTAAGTTTCCTACTAAAGGATAAGTTAAAAAGTATAGCATATCCACACTAACCAATGTTACAAATCCATATTTTATAAAACTGTTATTCTCAAAATATTTAATAAAACTGGAAAAGTATTCACAACAGAACATTCAACAGAAAAATACATTCAGTGTAAAGTGAATTCAGAAAAATGTTTTTAAGTTTTGTAATATATGGATATATAGGCTATATAAAATATTGATTATTACTGAAATAGTGGTTATCTTTGGTGCCTTATACTTGATTTTTATTTTTGGATTTCTCAGTATTTTCCTTTTTAAAAATAATAGGTGAATTCATATGTATATGTGTGCATGCGCACACATGCGCACGCGCATACGTATGTGCCAGTTCTGTCCCTGAGCTTTTGTGCTCAAGGCTAGTGCTCTACTACTTTGAGCTACAGTGCAATTTTTAGCTTTTTGGTGGTTAACTGGAGAAAAGAATCTTACAGACTTTCCTGCTCAGGCTAGCTTTGAACCGTGATCCTCAGATATCAGCCTCCTGAGTACTTGGGATTACAGTCATGAGCCACTGGTGCTGGCTAATAGTTGGATTTTTTTTTTTAATCAGTAGGAAAATAAATGCACGAGTGGAAAACATATCTCTAAGTTCTGGGCTTGTGTTATATAGGATCCCAATAGAAGAGCAGGAAGGGGAAGGTCCTGGAGGCATTGCAGGCATGGGGCAGGGCAGGATGGCCTCATGAATGGCCAGTAGCCATTCAATGTTAAACAAAAGGCCCAACGGTGTATAGTAATTCCCTAGTTTCAAGCTCTACTCTTATTTTATGGTATATCCTTATTCTTTATTGTGCTGGACTAGAGTTAAAATGAGAATAACTTAAAATTTAAGGACTGTCAAGATCTGCTCTGCTTGCAGGTCAATTGCTTAAACTCTCTGAACAAACTTTCCTGCGAAGAATATGGAGCTAAAAATATCATCTTCATTTTCTTTTCAGGATATTTCTATCAAATGACATATATATATATACACCACATAATTAAACATTAATGATGATTTAATAATCATTAAATGTCAATAATCTTCTAAAAAGCATGATTTGATACAATTCCTATACTAAGATTAATACAACTCTAATTTTGAATATAAGAAAAATTTAAAATTGTTTTCAGATCTCTACTGGCAGAAGTACCAATATGACAAAATGAGGGAGGCTGATGGTATGGTTCAGTGGTAGAGGTTCAGCTTACTAAAGAGGCCCTGGGGTTTAATCCAAAAGAAAATAGAGGCTAAGGAGGAAAGAAGGAGAAACAAAGAGAGGAAGGGAAGAAGGAAAGTCAATCACCAGATCCCAACAGGAGAGAGATCTAAAAAAAAAAGAAGAGCAAAATGAAGAAAAATATCTTAGGAGGATAGGTTAGGCTTGCTCTGAGTCACTAGTCAAGTATAGGGAGAACAACACCTTTCAGGCTGTGCCTAGCTTTGATCTACTCCATTTTGTAAAGTAATAAGTTTTAACCTAACCTTGAGCATAAGGACCAAAACAGATTGACATTAATATCTTGTTTATGCAAATATACAACTACCATCTATTAGCATAACAAGGGACACAAACTAATTATTCATTTATAATCAATTATATTAACAAATATATCAAAGCATATCAGAAAGTCAGATTTATCAGACCTATCAGACACATCTGATATAGTCATTTAGTCAGCTCCATCACCTGAAATATCCAAAAGGAGGGGCATCTAGCACAGGAACATGGCAGCAAACACTGACACATCATCAGTCTATCCCATTTTTGAGTAAGACTTAAAATAGCACTGAACTGACTCTGTCTGGGACATCCGCTTAGCTCAATCCCATTTGACAGGATTCTCTCATATTGCCATTTATCTCTGATCTAGTAAGCAACAGAGCTCTGCACCTCAACTTAACTCTGCCTGAAATCAGCTCTGCATTTAAACTACATCTTGATATCACTGGGCTTCAATGGTTCAAAGACAGCTCTGAACAGGGATGTTTACATATCTCCAAGGACAACCAGAACAGTCTCTTTGCATCTATATAGCTCTCTACTCTTAGGCTAGGCCCCTTTGAATCCTGAGTCTGCTTTAACTCTTGCTCTGTGTGTGTGTGTGTGTGTGTGTGTGTGTGTGTGTGTGTGTGTGTGTGTGTGTGTGTGTTATTATGAACTATATTGTATATTCTGAGTTAATATAAGAATTAAGATTGTAATAAAAGAATCTGTATTACCAATGGCTTAAGTTATTAAATGATCTCAGTAGTATTTGTGTGTGTGTGTGTGTGTGTGTGTGTGTGTGTGTGTGTGTGTGTGTGTGTGTGTGTGTGTGTGTGTTATTATGAACTATATTGTATATTCTGAGTTAATATAAGAATTAAGATTGTAATAAAAGAATCTGTATTGCCAATGGCTTAAGTTATTAAATGATCTCAGTAGTATTTGGCATATTAATGCCAAGGAAATTGATGCAGCTTACTAATTTTTTGTTAGTCAATAAATTCTGACAGTGAAAAGACACCAGTATGTCAGGATCCTACCTTTCTGAGACTGTGTGCTAGAGCAAGTATGCATACTGACTCTCTGTGTGCTGTGATTCTTTTTTAGATGCCTGTACTTTTGTCAATTTAATTTTATTTCTTTATGATATAAACTGATAATTTCTATTTATTATTTCATAAAACCTAGAGAAAATAAAACTTTATTATATACAATCTTTAATCATCTTATAATTTTTAAGTGACATAATTTCTTCAATGAATATATTCATGTCACTATTGTCATTGTATAAAAACAAAGTATCCACTTTTACAAACAGTAACTTGGACAACATCCTACAGTTCTCAACAACCAAATTTTCTGAAAATAAACTAGACATTGGCCCTAACATTTTAAGTCACAACATTTCTCATCAGGATGATTAATCTTTACAAAAAGGCAGGAAAACAAGACCGAGCCACCCACTCTGACATTTTCATTCTTTGAAACAAGAAATCCTACTCTAGTTTGTGAACTGGAATCATCATTTATAAACCTATGTAATCTACCAGAGTAAACTTTATGACTAACAAGATTAATATGATTCTCTGGACTGAGAAAAGTGTACTGACATTAAAAAGTACTTAGAGCATAGTTTTACTCAGAAATCTGATAAACTTTTGCCAGGGCCCAACTAACCTTTAATAACTTCATTTTTTCCTTTTCTGTTTACTTGACAAAATATATAAATGAGAAAACATTATTATAAACCACTCCATTAATGCTACAAGGCCTCAATTTGCCTCAAAGAGAGTGGGGAAGATATATGTCCTGTCAGATGCTAACCATCCTGTAGCTGCTGTGAGCTGGGCATATTGAGTGTGGAGGGTGAGGTGAAATGCTGGAGAAGTGCATAGGTGCACATGCTCATGTATCTAAAAAGTATAATAAAATCATTCCTGTTGTCAACATGGAGAGGAAGAGAAGTAGGAGAGATAAGGTGTGGAACAGCAGAAAGAGGTCTGTCTGCTGGCTCAGAACGTTTGATTCTGTTTGCACTTAAAAGAATCTGTAATGAGTCAACTCAGGAATAAATGATTCTTAAACATTTAAGCCAGTGGCTCACACCTGTAATCCTAGCTACTCAGGAGGCTGAGATCTGAGGATCAAGGTTCAAAGTTAGCCTGGGCAGGAAAAGTCTGTGGGACTCTTATCTCCAATTAACCACCAGAAAACTGGAAGTGGCACTGTGGCTCAAGTGGTAGAGTGCTTGCCTTGAGCTAAAAAGCTCAAGGACAGCGCCCAGGCCCAGAGTTAAAGCAATATTTAAGCTTGATGTTTTTTCATCCCTCACTTTTAAATAGCTTAGCTAGGGAATAACCAGCTCCATCTTGAGAAAGCTTTTTTTCAGAGCAAAGCAGAGTATTCAATTAAAAATTCAAGGTAAGAACAGAGAAAGCAATCTAATACAGGATAGGTCAGGAAGAAAGGAAATGGGCATGAGTAAAGCAAGCACAAGAAGGCAAAAGAAATGAATGTTGAGAAAACAGCTAGAAAACTAAATTAGTAAAACAACCACTTTGTCCATATAATACTTACCTGTGTAATTTTTTCTATTCCCTGGAAGTTGTGCTTTTCAAAATGTTCCACTATATTTAAAAAGGTGCGGCGTTCTAGATAACAGCAATTACTCAGAACTATAAGAAGTCGCTGTTCCTAGAAACAAAACAAAGCTTCAGGAAACTGTATTTATAGTAACACATGGTAAGTACAACAGATAAACCTGATAATATATTAGGTTTAATTATAAGCTCTTGCCCTTTGACATCAATATTCAATATTCAAGGCTCTGCCATTCTTTTTTTCATATATATTTTTTATTATAAAACTACTGTACAGAGGGTTTACAGTTACATGAGTAGGGTAATGAGTACATTTACTATCGAGCACTGTTGCCTCCTCCTTTGTTTTTCCCCTACCATCCCTTTCCTCTCTACCTCCCCAACTCCTCCCTCCCCCAGAACCCCGAAATTGTAAAGTTCGTTTTCAACATAGTGTCTTGTACTTCTCATTGTTACAATGGGTCAACCTGTATCCTTATTTAAGCATTTTGTTATATCCCTTCCCCTCCCCAAATTATAAAAATGTATATACAAGCTGCAAGACACTGGAATCAAATACAGTAAAAACAGGGGTTATACTGTAGGGGAAGAAAGCTCTACCATTATTGGCTGCTTCTTCAATGCAGTCAGAAATCATACAATTCTATTATTCCACTAACTGTTCATTATTACATAATACACTGAAGAGTCAATCAGCAGCTGGTAGTTAGCCCAGTGCTAAGCACTTGCCTAGCATGAAACAGGCCATAGGGTCAATCCCCAGCACTATCTCAAAAAAAACAAAAACAAAAAGTAAAATGCTACCTTTAATATTTTATGTATACATGTGGACATCTTATAAAACTAATTATATATAGAACAAGTTAGAACATAGTTTATAAATTTTTCAAAACTTCAAAGAATTATATTGACAAATTATCTGTTTGATGGGTTCCTTTAGAAGCTTTAGGCCTGTAATAATTTATTTTGTACTCAGTAACAGCCTTCTCCAATGATTAGTTACTGAGGTCTAAGGACTCTTCCACATGAAGTGTCAATCTCTTCTTGCTGCTTCATCCTCCAGGGTCCAAGCCACCTAAAATAACATCTTATAAAAAATTTTATAAGACCTTATATTGGTGAAAACAAAATTCCTTCAATTTTGTAAGAAATATTTCTGTGAATAAGATTCCATGAAAGGCCCACAGAAGCCCTGGTCTGTCCTCAAACAGTTGAGGGTGTTCTCTGGAACAGCTGATTTATCCAGGGCTTTCAGTCAAGATCCCTGACTACAACTAAGATAAAACCTCTTTCCAGGTTGGCTCATTCTTGCTGTAGAGAATCAAAATAACTTATAATAGAGTACTCCTAGATAGAAAATGTAGAAATAAACAGGTACCTATCCATTGAGATAAGTGGACTACATATAAACAAAAGTATATTAAGTCAATTATCAAGCAAATCTCTATCTCCCAATAATTACTTAGTTCAGCAAAATTTCCAAAGACTTTTTAACTTTATTGTCTATCTTTATATCTTTGTTCAAAATGTTAGTATTTTTATTTCTAGTAGGGTAGAAACTAGTGGTGCACTTTTTGGCAATCAACAAATCAGAGTAAAAGGTCAAGAATTATACATGCTGCACATTGTGTCCCACAACCTTCATTCCCAGCTATTCAAGAGGGAAAGAAAGGAGGAACAAGGTTATAAGATAGCCTGAACAAAAGAAAGAGAGAGTGAGAGGGAGAGAGAGAGAGAGAGAAAGAAAGAAAGAAAGAAAAAGAGAAAGAGAGAGAGGGTGGGGGAGAGAGACGGGGGCAGAGAGAGAGAGGGAGGGAAGGAAGGAAAGAAAGAAAGAAAGGAAGGAGGAAAAGAGAAAAAGAGGGAAGGAGGGAAGGAAAGAAAAGAAAGCTTACACAAGCCAGGACTTAGTGACTCATGCTATTTGGGAAGTTGAGTGGAATGATCAGTTTGAGGCCAGCCCAGGCAAAAAAGTTCCCGATAAAATATGCTGAAAATAAGCAACAAAACCAGGATTGGAGGCAAGGTTCACATGGTAGAAAGTCTGCCTAGCAGGCATAAGGCCCTGAGTTCAAACTCTAGTACTGCCACAAAGAAAAATTTGTATGTTCAAGTAAATGAAAGGTTGTTATTGGCCCTGAATTAATCTATGGCTAGGAAACAAGCTGATGGAGTGATAGGTGCAAAATATCCCATTTCCTAATTTAGGGAATGAACAGTAGGAAAAACAATGAAAAGAAGGCATGATGAAGCAGTATTTACCTTTTTGTTTCCAGGTCTGGTATTTCCAGTAAGCGGGACAATTCATCAACCACCCTATACATGCTATACTCCTCAAAACTCTTGATTAGTTTCAAATTAATCCTTTATTACTTTTCCCTTCAAGATTTAATCCTGGTGAGCAAATGCAACAGTTATACTCACTAGATACTATTTTGAATTTGCAGGTGGGGACAGGGAAAAACTGAGAGTGAGGGAAGGTGACACTGTCCAAAAGGATATGTACTCCATCTGACTTATCTGATTTATGTAAAAGAAACCCTTCTGAAGATCACCTTAGTAACAATAAAGAGAGCAAGGGGAGGGGTGACATTGTCCAAAAAACTATGTATTCACTACTTGACTTATGTAACTGTAACCCTATTTATATAAAGGTAATGTACAACACCTTTATAGCAATAAATAAATAAAAAGGTCAAACCTCCTTATATACCCCAGTGAGCCTGTGATGTCTGCTATGTCCTGTAAGTTCTCTTAATTTTCCCAAAGTAATATGTGTTGTTCTTCTCCCAAAACAGATCACTACTGAATGATCTTACCCTTAGAAGGTTATTTCTTTGCCTCAAATCTAACCATTCAGCTGAAATAAACATGGAAAGAACAAATAAGCAGCACAATTCATTCTTTAAACTGGAGTTGTTAATCAGAAGTCCTGTCGCACTTGAATAGAGAAGTGTATTTGACAGTAAGTATATAACCAACATCCTGTAGCACTTCAGAAGAAAAGCAGGTCTGGTGTTACTCTTCGTGAGTATAAGAGGACAGTGAGGTTCTTTTTCTTCCCATGCCACGCAGGCCTGACTAACTAAATCTCCTCACCCTCATCATATCTGGATACCAGAGACCCTGGGGAGACTTGAATATCCCAAGATCTACTAAGGCATTTTGTGATGGGGAGAAATCAGTCAGGCAGTACAATGCAAATTCTGGGTGGCTGCTGAAAGGATGCTTATTGTGGAACAGTAGAGAGCTATGACTGAACTGTGGTCTGTTTGTTTACGCTTGCTTACTGAGGGACAGGCTATACAAACGGGAGTCCATTCTCACTTTCCTTATCTCTAGCTAGTTGATGGCTCCAAGTCTCTGGCCTTCAACTCAATTGCTTTAGCTTTCTTTGTCCTAGGCTTACAGAAGGGTTGGCTTAAGCTCAGCACCAAGCTCCTTAGCTCCTGCTTCTATAGGAGAAGCTGGCCATAGAAATACACTTACGTCCTGGCCCATTACACTTTCATGGCCACTGACCCTTCTGGGCCTTTGACCTGTCAACATGTTTTACTTCATACTCCTTAACCCTAACCTAGGAATTCCAGTCCATCCGAATTCCTTATTTTTACAATTATTCCTTTGCAGAAAAACCAAGGTTTTCTACTTGTAGCCTATTAACTACTCTACCTCTATTCTTAACTACTGTTACCTCCAATATTGATTTTAGCTATTCTTTCTATCTTCTAGGGTAGACCCTGAGGTCTCATGGTTGGCTGTTTTCACTGACAGCAGAGTGCCCAAGCTGGAGTTTGAGATCCCAGGTCAAGGAGGAGGCTAGAAAGCATGTGACACCCACTGTGCTGCTTAGCATGTGGGAACCAGCTCCTTCCCATTCCCTTAACCCAAACCACATTTGACTGACGAACAGATCCCTTTTCTGTTGAACATTTCTTCTCCCTGTCCACTGTCCACAGACAAGAAATACTGCTGCAGCTCCATGCCAGCACATGTATAAGAGTTCATAAGACTCCACCTCAACCAATGGCTGAGCAAGGGAATGCACGTCTGTTATCCCAGCTTCAAGGGAAGCACAATGGTTGATCAAAGTGATATATACCTGTCATCCTCAGCAACAGAAAAAAGCGCAGTAGGAGGATCACAGCACAGGCTGGCTTGGGCATGTGTGACACCCTATCTCAAAAATCACCATTGCAGCTGGGTACCAGTGGTTCATGCTTGTAATTCTTAGGTATGTAGGAGGCTGAGATCTGAGAATCACAGTTCAGAGCAAGTCCAAGTAGGAAATTCCATGAGACTTTTTAATCTCAAAAAGGCATTGGTGGAGCCATGACTGAAGTGGTAGGGTACCAGCCTTTCACAAAAAAACTAAGGGACAGTTCTCAGTCCTAGCGTGCACGTGTGCATGCGCACACACACGCGCACACACACACACACACACACACACAACCATCATAAAGATAGGCTGGAGGATGGCCCAAATGACAGAAGACCTACTTAATGAGTGCAAGGCCCAGAGTTCAATCCCCAATCTTGCTTAAAAAAGGAAAAGCAGATCTCTGGCTAAAGAGACAAAGACTCAGAAAATACCCTTGTTCCTGCCTTCTCCCTCATTCATCAAGGCAACTTCCAGTTCCTGGTAACACAAGGGCAATCTTTTACTCAAGATTCTGCACAGAAGTGGTGAATGCATGGGTCCACTTAAAATAAAACTCCAGCTGAAGAATCTCAGGTGAGGCATTCGCCTAAATTTTGCTTTACTAAAATTTTCACATGCCCTAGCAGAGCTTCAAGCTATACAGCAGAATTTCAGAGTACAGTTATGATAAGATGCTCAGAATGTACTAAAAGTGATTTAGGCTGATTTATAAAGTAGCTATTAATTTCAAAATGAAAGATTTTACTTTCTAACTTCTTACTTACAGAATTCAAGCTGAAGTCTTCATGGATACTTCCAAACAAATCAGGAGAAGAAACATCCATAGAAAGACTGAATATAGAAACAAATAAAGAATATTTACAATTAAAACTACAACTTAAAATGAATAAATTATATATATACACACACACACACATATATATTTGAAGTTAAAATATTTTAACCAGGTGTTGGTGACTCATGCCTATAATCCTAGCTATTAAGGAAACTAAGACTTGTAGGATCAAGGTTTGAAACTATCCTTGACAGAAAAGTCCTCAATACCTTACATCCCCAATTTGATAGCAAAATGCCATAATGTCATACTGGAAGCATAACTCAGGTGGTAGAGCATCAGCCATGAGCAAGCCTAGTGAGAGCACAGGCTTTGCATTCAAATCACTGTACCAACACAAACACACACAAACGTGCACGCACACACACACACACACACACACACACTTTTTAAAAAAAAATATTACATAGCCTTCTATATGTTTTCTTATATATAGTCATTAATAGCTCAAAGAAGCTACTGTGTAGTACCTTTCAACCTGGGCCATATAAAATTTTCTTTTGGATCTTCATTAAACTTAAAAACAAAAAAAAAAAAATGAGGAAGCTGGGCGCCAGTGGCTCACGTCTGTAATCCTAGCTACTCAGGAAGCTCAGATCTGAGGATCACAGTTCAAAGCCAGACGGAGCAGGAAAGTCTGTGAGACTCTTATCTCCAATAAACCACTAGAAAACCGGAAGTGGTACTGTGGCTCAAGTGGTAGAGTGCTCGCCTTGAGCTGAAGAGCTTAGGGACAGTGCCCAGGCCCAGAGTTCCAGCCCCTCGACCAAAAAAAACCCAACAACAATAACAACAACAACAAAAATCAACAAAGGGGAAAATGTTAAAAAAAAAAAAAAATTACTGAATTACTTAAAATGCTTAAAAATTACTTAAAAATAATTAAATTTTTTAAAAAATCTATCAGAAGTTTTAACTCATTTCATTTTGGGGATGGTAGTAGGGTAAGTGGTCTAACACTTAAGCCATTCTTCTTATTCATTTTTGCTTTAGTTTCTTTTTAATATAGTCTTGCTTTTGCCAGAGCTGGCCTGGCACTTTGATCCTCTCATATCTATACCTCTCAAGTAACTGAGAATACAGGAATGTACCATAACACTTAGCTTATATTTGAGCACTGGTACAATTCCCTAGTGCCACAAGTAGAAAAGCACTCAACTAGGAGCTGTATAGTTATTATTTTAAATTTTTATTGTTATTTAAAGGTGATGTACTGAGGTGTTACTGCTTCATAAGTCAGGTAATGAGCAAATTTCTTTTTCAGTGGAACTGTATATTAAATCTTCTACTTTATTATTGAGAAGTCTTATTCTTTTGGATACTTAGTAAACTATTTATTTGTTCAGTGTCCAATATGGCTCTAGTAAGGCTAAGGGAAATTCATTAAAGGTATCAGTGATCTCTCTCTGTCTCTGAGACAGGGTATACCTGGGCTGGGCTGGAATGGACAATTCTCCTGCCTCAAACTCCCAAAGCAACACCCCCAACCCACCTTCTACTTCCTTGCACCCTGAGTCACACCCTGAGTACTGACACTATAGGCCTGTGCCACCACATAGGCAAGATTTGGGGGTTGTTTAGTGGTGGGGCTGGGTATCAAACCTAGGGCCTTGGACATACTGGGCAAGTACTCTACTGTGGAGCTACACTTCCAGCCATAGATTTCATTTTTACTTACTGTGTAGTATCTATGTCTGCATCAGGCTTGGTGCTCAATTGTTCCAGACAGTATATAAAAACCTAAGTCAGAAATGGTAAGTCTCAGAATTAGAAAGTTTCAGATATTAATCTATTTGGACATTAAAAATTATTTTATATACATTAAAAGGGTAACAAAATACCCTTTAAGTAGCAAGAAGGATGTGTATCTAGTAAGTGTATGTATATGTATATTCCATATATATATATATATGTATATATATCCCATCAACATATACTACAGTCCTGACAAAAAAAACTAAAAGCAGTTATAGTTTGATCAATTATTGAGTTCCTGAATATACTTTAGGAGAAAACCTTTTTTCTTTTATTCACTCAATAACATGCTAGATTTGGTTTCTGTGCATAAAAAGCACTGCTATCAATGAAGACCCATTATGCTCTAGATTAAATATCAACAATTAATTATCATTTTACCCAAGCTGAAAACTAATGGGAATATGTACAAAGTGTTAGGAGAATAAAAAATGGAAGTACAATATAAAGGAACATTCATACTTTGCTAAAGCAGGCAGAAGCATATATACTGTGATTTTAAATCCACACTTGATATGTGCTACATATATATTACCAACAGGACTGGTTGGCAGACTCAGACGTCAAACTCTGAGCACCACTGCTTCCAAACAATACCTGCATGATATTGATGCTCAGTTGGCAAACCTCCTCCTGTGTTTTGGGATGCTGAAAGACCTATGAAGAAGAATTTCATTAAAAATTTTCAGCTTTGGTAAGGAAACAAAACTTTTGCTTTTGAACTTAGATATAAGGCACTAACTGCTTTAAATGGACCCATTATTATAAAGAGTAAACCCATAGGGGCACTTGTGGTGACTGACAACACTAGGGCAATCACCACTATAAACACAAAGTCCCTGCATTAGTGCTCTGTCCACAACTCCTGGACACACCTGTCACCTTGCCTCAGTCTACCTTGGAATTACAATGTTTGTGAAATGGATATGCAATGAGAGACCAAAAAACGAAAACAAAACAGAACAAAACTTTGTTCAACAATGACTCAGACTTACTTATATAATTGTAGTAAGTGAAGTAAGCCAGGCCCAAGGAAACATAGGTCCCATGGTTTCCCTTATTTGCAATAACTAGTACATGTGTAGGACAAGCAGAAAAGACCAAAAGCTATGTACATATGACCATCTAAGATAATGTTAAGCAAAATGAACCCCAAGATAGGAACACAAATATCTTTTTTCTTTCTTGCTATTGTTTCTAATGTATTTATAATGTACCATGTGATTTTTTTGTTGCTTTGTATGTTCCTCCTCCACGGTATAACCCCTGTTTTCACTGTATTTAATGTTGGTGCCCTACATCTTATATATACACTTCTCTAATTCGGGGAGGGGAAGGGAAAAAACAAAATGCCTAAATAAGGACACAGGTTGACCCATTGTAACAATGAGATGTTCAAAACACTATGTTGAAAACAAGCTCTACAACTTCAGTGGGGGGGAGTGGGGAGATGGTGTTGGGGGATAGTTGTGGAGGTGAGAGGGAAAGGATGGTAGGGGGAAAAGAAAGGAGGAGGCCACAATGCTCAATAGGAAATGTACTCATTACCTTGCTCATGTAACTATAATCCCTCTGTACAGCATTTTTTACGATAGAAAACATGTGTGTATATAATATATAAATATATATATACATATATATATATATATAAATACATATAATATACACAATGACTCAGAATTTCACAACTAGGATTCCCAAGGAAGTGCTTCTCAGGACTCTCAGGTAGGTGGAAATGAATGGAAACTTACACTGGCTTCTCCAGGCTTGCACTCCAGAACATCTTTCAGTGACTGGAGGGAATGCAGGATACACTGCTCAAACTGACATGGCTGAGGGAAAAACAATGACAAAACAAAAATGAAAATAAACTAAAACTTAGTTTCAGCTAAGCAGGCAGTGAATGCCCATCAAAAAATAAAAATATTGCTCTTTAATTCAAAACTACACAATGGCTATGAAGATATAGCCATTGAAGTTAGTATGGCCAAACATTCTAAATTTTCCAGATTTGTGAGAAGTAACAGTGATACAAATAACCTGACAAGTATCCTGAAATCAATGATTTGGGGATGTGCACAGGATTTACACTTAATTATTGTTGATAATTATGAACTGAAGGATGTGCAAGATCTTTAAGTCAAATATGTCACTGTAGTTATTTACTATATGTAATAAGTCAGAAAAGGAAACTTGAAAATAAGTCCAACCAATGATACCTCAAGATAAGCTTAACTGTATCCTAATATGATCAGAAGGTTAAACTTCCTATGTTGAATTTTTTTTTTTTTTTTCCAGTCATGGGGCCTGAACTCTGGGCCTGGGCACTGTCCCTCAGCTCTTCCGCTCAAGGCTAGAGCTCTACCACTGGAGCCAAGCACCACTTCCAGCTTTTTCTGCTTATGTGGTGCTGAGGAATCAAACCCAGGGCCTCATGCATGCAAGGCAAGCACTCTACCACTGAGCCACCTTCCCAGCTCCGCTATGTTGAAATTTTTTAGCTCTATGTATAGTATAACATGAGAGTGAGTGAGACACGTAAAGTTTCCATTAAGAGCTTATTCTAGGTGGTGAAGACAAACAGGGAAATCACAATCAAAATTATTATGAAAAATAAACTGCACTAGCAAAATGCAATACGCATCATGAAGAAAAAAAGTGAAACTAGGGGAAAAAAAGGTACTGAAGAGGGATCTATTCTATATAGGTCACAAGAACATGGAAGTTGAAGCTAACAGGGAGTGAAGGAAGTAAGAAACCACAAGGATGGAGGGGCCACAAAGGGAAGTTAGCCAAAACTTCAGGAAATGAGCATGGATGCCAGAGATGGGGTTAGGAACCTGAAATTTGTTCAAGAGACACTGGGGAAGGGGAAGATCAGTGTTTAACCAACCAGCTATATGCCAAACATCTAGAGTGAGAACTTCTCCTCAACATACATATCCGTTTTTCTTGTAAGGTTGGGGGGAAAAAAATAAAGGCAATGACATCTGTCTCTGTATTTAAAAAGTCAAATCTATTTTCTGCCCAATAAGTCTTGAATTTAGGTAAAATGGTGCCTGGACTTCAATGTCATCTTACTACTGCATTTTGAAGTCACCAGAAGTACTATATAGAATATTTATAAGAGAATATTTATAAGAGGAGATAGTGTATAAGATAAAATACTTTAGAGTCATTACTACTCATCAGTGTATGTGTATGACCTTATCCATAACACTACCATAAAGACAAAAAAGTATACAAGATGACATTATTCATATGACCTATCTTTCTTACTAAGGACAAAAATGTAAGATATTAGAACACAACAAAAACTATAATATCAAGACTAAATCCAGATTTCAACTGTGGATATTAATGTTTATTTATGTCCATTGGATTTCTTGTACTAAGATTAAACTAGACTTTAAAATTTTTATACCACATCAACAGAGTGATAAGACAAGGAATACTGGAAAGCTCATTCACTGAGCAGTTTCAGCTAAGTAGGGAGTGAATGAAAAATCTAAGTAACTGCCTTTTCTTCTCAATAGAAACAACTATCTCTGTGTGTTATCGGTGAATCATCCAATTTAGCTGACTACAATAACTTATCAAAATCATCCCAGTTCTTCTGAAAGAAGAAAATTCTAAGAATTATCCAAATTGAAAAACAGGCAAAAAACAATCTCAACATGAGAAGAAAACAGGATGCTTTCCAGTGAGAAGCACCATGGTGAAGCTCTAATCATAAAGATAACACTTCAGCAGAAAGGACAGTCATGGTGACAAAGCTGGAGACCCACCTCCCTCATGTGTAGGAGTGCTTCCCTCTCCCAGTCACAGTGAAGGGATTAATGGTCTTAACCTCATCCCACACAGACTGGATCAGCTTAGGTAAAGAAGTCATTGTTCCAAATCTTAGAATTTTAAATGTTGATCAGGTTAAACTACACAGAGCTGAACTGTAGACTTGTGTTCTATGTTGAGTACCTTACATGGGCTAAAACACTTAGTAAAGGCGTATCAAGCCCAATGTTGGCTTCTTTCTTCACAGGCTGACTAGAAAATGTCTCTGCTGACTCCAGATGAACTACTTCTTGTGAGTTATTTCTTCCCCCTTTCTTTCCTGCACATACTTAATGTGACGTGTGTATGAATACAAACATGAAATTATTTTGTGGTTACAACTGCATTAAGATGGTCCAACAAACAAGTTTCTTTAGTAACTATTCCAGTCATTTTCACAGAGGCTGACCTTTGATAACAGGCAAATCAGTAGTCCTGGGTAATGAAGCTCTCAAGATCGCTCAAGCTGGAATGGCACGCACACTGAGGCACTGACCCAAGGACTTAAAGTCAATGTCTGCTTTGTAGTGATGACTGAATACATTTCAGATATTTCTATATGTATAGATATATATATATATAAAGCCATATATCTCTATATATACAGTTAATGAAATAGAACCGTGGCAACTCAGACTTAGTAACATTTTTGCATAAAAGTAATTTGAGGAAAGCTTCATTCACTGGGCATTAAAGTTACCTAATGTCTCATTTCCCACACCTGCCCATACTTGGGGCACATTATTAAATGGATGATGCCCCAAAGACATGTTTTTGTTCTGTCCTTCAAGCTTGCTAATGGTAATCAAGAAAGGCTCTCAGAAATAATGTAAAATTAAGGAATAATCATGATAGCCAAGTTATTGCAAGTATTAATTTAACTAAGAAAATTGTTTATGTTACACAAAGTTTTATAGCTTATATAGCACTTTAGTGCATAGCACCACATTTAATGCTGAGGTAAAACACTGTGAAGCCATGTTGTGCTTTTTTTCAAGAAAACCTGTGTCAAGACTGTAGGGTTTCTATGGGATAGGCTCTGGTACTCAACTCTAACACACTCATCTTGCTCTGTCTAACACTAGGTAACATGGGCCACAGATTTAGTTCTAGATTTTCTAGTAACTATTTTAGAAAACTAAAAAAAGAAATTTTAACATAATTCATTTAATGCAACATACCAAATATGTAATCAACTTGAAATTAATATTAAAAAGTTGAGGTATTTTACATTTAATTTTTTTATACTGCTGTAAGGTGTTGCATAATTATCTCTAAGGAATTAGTGAGTGAATTAACTACAAAACAGTTTTTACTTAAATACAAAAAATTGTGACAGTCAATGAAACTACTATTTAAATACACTTTAAATAAAATTATAACACATTTATTAAAAATACTGAACTTCCTGGGCAGTGGTGGTTATTCTAGTTTTCTTTTCTTATATTAGGCAAAACTCAGAAGTTCTTGCTAAGGAAAGACAGAAACTGGAAACAGACACCTGTACTGCTGAAAAACCTCCATTTCCCAGCCTCTGCTGCTAAGGCTGTAGATATGTGAATACAGTCTGTACAACTATACCTGAGAAAAGTGAGCTGTGGTTCATGGGCAGGGTGATCCAGGTAGAAGCCAGTGGCAAAAGGGTGAAAAGACAGAGAAGAATGGGGAGTCCTGGGCACAGGCTGCATGACTGAGCTGTTTTGCCAGTGTGAGAGATAAGAAAAAGTGAATCTCTGCTTCATGTAAGGTAACAGGTGACTCACCCACCTACAGGATTGTTGGGCAAACTTGTAAGCCAGGTAAGAAAATATGAAAACTACTTTCAAAGGTATCTGGAAATCCTAAAATTCATCTGAAAAGATGAGGATTGTGGAATGAATCATCACAATGCTAGGTGCTGCCCTACCTATGAAATTATCTGTAGATTGCACTTGTTTTGTTCTTGTTTAAACTCAGAGACCACAATATCAGTTCTTTTGTCTCAATTTTATATACATATATATATATATATATATATATATATAAAATATTCAATTAAGCACAGTGTTGTTGAAAAAAACAACACAAGCAAGAGCAGTGATATAGGATGATGATAATTACTCTAAATAAAAACCACTATTTTCACTATTTTTTAAATACCTTATTAGCATTACACAAAAACGATTTTGAGAGGGCTGGGAAGATGGCTCAGTGGTAGAGTGCTTGCCTTGCATGCATGAGTCCCTGGGTTCAATTTCAAAGCACCACATAAGCAGAAAAAGCCAGAAGTGGCTCAAGTGGTATGGCACTAGCCTTGAGCTGAAGAGCTGAGGGACAGCACCCAGGCCCATAGTTCAGGCTCCACAACCGCCAAAACAAAAAAAAAAGATTTTGAGAAAATCTGTAAGAAGCTTATTTTCTATTCCAGAAACAATTCAGAATTGCACAGCAGAAACCATTCTGTGTTAATATACATTTAATAATGGAAAATAATTTAAACTTACTAGGGAAGTCAATCCTTCATTATCAACAATCCAGTCCTCCTTTTCAGCTAATCTCTTTATTTCTACAGGAAAACAAGTAAACAAGTATTTTATTATAATCATTGCACCGTAATTTAGAGATAAAATTATATAAAGGTCATGTTTTTTAATTATTTATGAAGGTTTGTAAAAAAATTGGTATAAGGATAGAGCACAATTTTAGTACACTTGAGGCTTTAAAAGTGTACTCTTCACTGTATTTTTCTGCAGGTGAACCCACTGCCACAATGAGACCTACAAGTCGTTATGTTGAAAACGAACTTTACAACTTTGGTGGGGGGCAGGAGGAGGGCTGAGTGGGGGAGGGGGGGTAAGGGGAAGGATGGGATAAGAAGGGGAAACAAAGGAGGAGGCTACAATGCTTGATAAGAAATGTACTCATTATCTTGCCCATGTAATTGTAACCCCTCTGTACAGTATTTTCACAATAAAAATAAACAAATAAAAGTATACTCTTTACTGTATTCTTCTAGTAAAACTGAACAAAAGCTTTTACTGGACCCCTCTGTACAGTATTTTCACAATAAAAATAAACAAATAAAAGTGTACTCTTCACTGTATTCTTCTAGTAAAACTGAACAAAAGCTTTTATTGGACAGCCCAATTCTAAGCTAAACTTAACGTAAAATAATGTCTTCTTCATATTATCAGGAAGACATGCACATAAGGGCTAATATTTCTTCTTTGAAATTTTTTTTTCTTTTTGCTTATGTGGTGCTGAGGAATCGAACCCAGGGCCTCAGGCATGCAAGGCAAGCGCTCTACCATTGAGCCACCTTCCCAGTCCATCTTCCTTGAAAATTTTAAGGAACAATTTAGATTCTCTTTGAATCCCCTCAGCACAATTCTCACTTAGGTAAAGAATTAGCACCTGCCCATAAAATGTGGCAGACTGGCTTAGATTTCTGAAGGGCTTGGGAGAGAGCAAAAAAGTGTCAAAATAAGAAATATCTATAATTTCTTATAACTATTAAACCACTGCTAATGGTCTTTCTTCCAATTTTACATTGAATTTTTCTATATTAAAAATTTTAAGGAGATGGGAATGTGGCTTAGTGTTAGAATGCTTGCCTGGCATGCATGATGCCCTGAGTTCAAGACTTCAGTACCAAATAAACAGAAAAAGCCAAAATGGCACTCTGGCTCAAGTGGTAGAGTGCTAGCCTTGAGCAAAAGAAGCCAGGGAACAGTGCCCAGGGCCCTGAATTCGAGCCCAGCACTGGCAAAAAAATATTTTTTTTTTCCAAAAATAAGTTTCATACTTTATGTGAATTTTATATCCTACCTTTTCTACTTATAAACTGCCTTATAGTCTTAAATATTTTCAAATACACTCATCTTAATTTCTGCATCATTTTGCAAAATTTGTTTCAAGGATCTGGAACCTGGAAAGAGGTGATATATTCAGACAACTACTCTCCAGCACATATTATCAATTTTCTTTAACAGACCTTCTGCTGTGTGTTGCAATGTGACCATGACACAACGTACACGGAGATCCAAAATAAGGTCCTGAATAATCTGCAGCATGTCATTAGGAATTTCAAGGGCAGTCAATGACTCATAAGTAAGCCTATGGAGCAAACACAATGAAACAAAAGTGAGCAGGTGTGATCTCAAAGCAGCTCCCATCATCATTTCCCCATGCTGAACCTATGCCTTAAGAAGCACAGAAGCTATAACATTAAGTTGAAAACAGGCAGAATAAGATCATAATTAGGACTATAATGTACCATAATACTGAGCTAAGCAATAGAAATAATGTACATATTAGATGCTGAAAACACCAGTAAAGCTTAAGAGTTTCGTTGTTAAAAGACAAGTAAGAAGTAGAGGTAGAGAAGGCAACAGGACAGAGAGGAGGGTTAGATGAACTTTCATCTTTATTATATACCACACACTGAAGGGGTTAAAAACAACAATGAAAAAATTTATCCTTTTTGTTGTGTCCACATTTACCTTAAGGTCTGGATGACATGTGCAAGCCACTGCCCTGAGAGCTCTGACTTCACCTCCCAGCCTCCATACTGCCTCCCTTCTCCCTCTCGGATGCTGAGGGGCAGCAGAGCTCCACGGATCAGTTTCACAAGAGAATGCATTACTTCCTGTATCATTTTCTAGGAAGTAGAGAAGCAAAATTGCATTAAAATGTCATCAATCTGGTTAAATTAAACAAAAGATATATGTTGTCATTCAAAATCCCTATCCTGTGAGAAAGTAGACACACATAACTAGCTTACCTTGAAATCATTTTGTCTTTGCCTTACATTCTTTGATCTTTCGATCTGGCCTGACTTCTCAGCAGTCTTAAAGATTGAAAAACAAAATAAAACATATTAGCTGTCTTTTAGAAATAATTTCGAAAACTAAGAAATGGTTTAGCACTTCTATATAAAAACATTAAATATAACTTGATTAAATGAAATGTTTAAATTACATTCATGGTTATATTTAGAAAACCTTTCTTATTTCAACAAGAATTCATTTTTCTAAAACCTTTACATAAAAGGAGAGGGCTGGGAAGGTGGCTCAGTGGTAGAGCGCTTGCCTTGCATGCATGAGGCCCTGGGTTCGATTCCTCAGCACCACATATGCAGAAAAAAAGCCAGAAGTGGTGCTGTGGCTCAAGTGGTAGAGCACTAGCCTTGAGGTAAAGAGCTGAGGGACAGTGCCCAGGCCCAGAGTTCAGGCCCATAACTGGACCCCCCCCAAAAATTAAAAAAACAAAAAAAGTGGGAGAGATGGCTCAAGTATAAGCACCTCTTCGGCAAGCTAGAGACTCTCATTTCAATTCCTACCACTAGGCAGGTGTGGGGAGCCAGGAGCCAAAGCCTAAAACCTTTAGGTATATTCCCATAAATAAACTTAAGAATTGGGTGGGGGGGGGGCGGGAGGGAGGATGGGAAGGGATGGGAAGGAGAAACAAAGGAGCAGGCTACGATGCTTGATAAGAAATGTACTCATTATCTTGCCCATGTAATTGTAACCCCTCTGTACAGTATTTTCACAATAAAAAAATAAAGGTACCAATTTTGAAGGTGAATTTCATATACCATTTTAATCAATTCCATACGGTTAAACCATAATATAGCATACATATGGTGGCATTTCTTATTAGCTAGTCAAAACACCAATAACAGCTGTAACTTGGAAGTAATGTGAAGCAATCTTAAAGTAGCCAATCCATTTCCTTGGTAGACACAATATAGGCATCAAATATGCTGTTGTTTTATTTTTTTTAGAAAGTATAAATCATTCTCTTTTTGATTCTTCTTTCATGGATTTTATAGTACAATTTAGGACAGGATATATTCTGCTGTTCTAAATTAGGGTTGTTTTGTTTAGGGTTCTTTTTTATTTTTATTTTTTCCTATTTACTGATATGAAAAGTGCTATCCTTTTCTTATATAGATTAAAGTAGAGATCTGTTTAAGTGGACTTCATTTAGCTTCTAATTCAGGAATGGTCTAGTAACCAATTATTTTCATGTAAAATATCCTAGAAGCACAATCTTAAAATCTTTCAAAATCAATGAAATTATGTAACAGAAAGTCTGACCTAAGACTGACATAAAGCAGAATTTTTCTCTTAAACTTAAAACCTTCATTGGCTACTGATTAGGCTAAAACATATCAAGACTCTTTTCAAGTTAAAAGGAGTAACATTGTAAATGATTATGATATTGATTTTAAGTTAAAATATTTACATATGCATATATGTTAAAAATAATGTAAAGAAATCAGGTGGTTTATATACTGATTATTATGGATGAAAATGAGTAAAAGAATAATTCTATTGTTAGGTGTTATCAACAAAATATCAAACATCTCTGAAAAACATCAGTGTATATATTCCTATCCTTAAACTCTATACTTAATCATGTTTTAATAACATTAAACTGTTGTACAGTTTAATGATATTAAACTATATTACTTGTTTCTCTGTATAAATGCACTTTTGCTTTGAAACTATTAAAAGTATGTATAAAAAAATTAAACTTAAAATTCACTATGGGAAAGCTAACTCCCAAGTTTACTAGCCAGTGACTCTAAATTCTTTTAAAAGGGTAAAGTTTTTCCTCTTTTATTGTTAAATGAATAAGAAAGTGTTTTAAGCATGAGAGTCATGATTTGTCCTTAATGAGGAAGAGGGCAGAGGGCCAGCCAGCAGAACCAGTAGTCATGCAGCAGTTCAGGTGAGCAGTAGAGCATCTGGGAAGCTTCAGGTGAATGGGCAGGTAATATAAACAGTGGAATCAGAACACCAGAGGGGGTACTGATCTCTCTAAGCATGATAGTAAAGAAGGCCATGTGCCAAAAATGACTGAGTTGTGCACACTCAGCCAAGCTCAAATGGCTAAGTATCTGCTAGTGTGCTTTCTGGCTTTGTCCAGGATAGATTTAAAACCAAAACCACATTGCTTGCACCCCAGGGCCTTGGTCCAGAAAAGCAAATGGATGCCACTATTTATTCAAGCTAAACAACAAACCCTTTTCAGAATATTCAAATTTTTCAGGTTAGTCTTGGACTTTTTTTTTCTTTTCTCCCACTAATTGGTTATCATGGTTTCAAATACCATCTGTATGCACAGCCCCCAAAATGGGTATTCCCAGCCCAATACTTCCTCTGAGACCCAGATTTAGATTTCAAATGCCTACTTGTTTAACTCTTCTTGAACAATTTTCAGGATTCTCAAGCACAACACATTAAAAACAAAAACTTTATATATTTCCTTCCAACATATGCTTCCTCAAGTCTGACAGTGTAAATATCCCTTTGCTCTTTTGGGAACCTCTTTCAGAGCTATGTCTGAACATTTGCCTTGATGTCACTCTCCCAATTCACCAGTCAGACCAATGACACCTACCAAACATTATTCTGGGTGTGTCTATCAGGGTGTTTCTCTGTGAGTTTAACATTAGATCTGCAGAGTCAAAAAAGTAGATGGCCCTCCCAAGGCATGTGGGCCTCATCTAATCAGGGAAAGATCTGAAGAGAATAAAATGATTAATTCTCCTTATTCGTTCCTTATTCTCTTCCTTCCCTTCTAGAACACCCAAAACTAGGACATTCAGAGATCTTCGGTTGTTTTCCTGCCTTCACACCTCCATGGTGTGAAGGCAGGAAACATTTTCTTTTCTTGAATCAAGACTAGAACTCCTACCTTTGGGCTCCTAGACCCAGCCCCCCGCAGCTTGCTGATCATCCTGCAGATGCTGACACTTGTTCATTCCATGATCACATGAGCCAATTGCTTATAGTAAAGGTCCTCATTTGTGTTTATAAATACATGTCTGAGATCTTACTTCTCTGCAGAAACTTACTCATGCAGACCTGGTATGCTATGTTGTGAAGAATGGTATGCCAGTACAAACCTCTATGTGTTCAGATGTCTCAGAGGATATTCTCCAATGCAATGGGAAGGTTGTTCTGAAGCTGTGTGTTCTGTTAAGTATTTTTATATCAAAGAAAGTAAAATCTGTAGTTTAAAAGTATATAGCAAGGACTGGGTTATAGCTCTATAGCAAAGCACTTGTCTCATATACATGAACCCAGGGTTCATTCCCAGCAAAACCACCACACACACAAAAAAAGATCATATAAAGGCTAGTTATTTGAGTTTTTTTGTTTTTGTTTTTGCCTAACAATGGTGTCCACAAACAGGTATTCATAATGTAGGATGACATTTTGATATCTATGAACAATAATTTAATTTCAGGGATTTGTCCCTTAAACATATGCAAAACAAAGGGGGAAATCAGGTAAAGAATACTAACTAGTTTTTAACCTGAGTATTTTCAACACAAGAAATTTCATCGTTTTCCCTTAAAAGAAAATCTAATTTTGGAACCAACATTTTAATTTCCATGAGTTATTTAACTTTTAAGATGTCCATCAGTAATATTTAACAATTATTTGGTTGCATTAAAGATTTTCCTTCAAAAATACACTACATTTAAAAACCTATTGGAAGGTGAGATCTTAATCTATTATTAACTATTTCGTTAACAAAACCCTTTAACTCTTTCCTGCACACACAGACCAAAACTACTTTGTGGTGAGATCAACGGCTAGATTTCACTGTTTTGATTCACATTACTTCAGATGGGCTTCACTGGTTTAAAGAACTGACTATTTTTTAAACTGTTGGAAACTTCATCTAACTTTTTAACGGATGAACTCTTAAATCAAACAAGATTGATTATAAAACAAGAAAAACAAAAAGAAATTTTTAAGTGGACTAATGTTTGAGTATTGTAAAGCTGTGTTAAATGAGATTAAGAATAAGCTCTCCAAAGCCCAGAACTCTTCCCAGCACTTTAATGTCATAAAGTTTCTGGTGTCCCTCACAGACTGATGGGTTGGGCACACTTTCCAATTCTTGCTACCCAATCCCTTCCTGCTTTTCTCTAGGTGCCTTTGATGCCTTTCCACAGAGGACAAGTAAGTTATAAACATGCTTAAATCTGTAGAGTAATTATACTTAATATTATTCCCATAAAGCTTTGAAGTAAAGTTTACCAATATAAATAGATATTTAATAAGCATATGCAACTCAGTAGATTTAATTGTCTTGCATTTCAACAATAATGTCCATGAATTCTGAAGATTATAATTTTTCATCTACAACCAAGTATTTCCTTTGTATTTTTGCCATAAGTAGGTAACAAAATCTATAAGGAAGGAAAATGCTCCCTTTTCACCTAACTGTCCCAGATCAAAACCCTTAGAATTCCTGATTCTATGAAGACTCAAAGCAACTTCTGTCCATTTTGGGGTGGGGGAGCCTACAAGAAATTATCCAAGTGTGGAAAATAGAACTTGGCTGGATATATAGTATGAAATCCATTTCCTAGAGTACTAATTTACCTTGACATCATTCAATTCTACTCAAATAGTTCATTTTTTTTAATGCTACCAAATTTTCTTCATTGAATACTTATTATGTACCAGGTCAACTGCATTTCAGATACTATTTGTCTAGTTTTTTTTTTTCAGTGCTGGGTACTAAACGCAGGGTATACTACATGTTAGACAAGCTGTCTACTACTAAGCTACATCCCCAGATGTGGAATACACTTCATTCCAAATTCTTGCATATTGAATACTTCACTTAGGTTAATTCTACATTCTCAAACCAGCCTCTGGAAGTAAATACAGAAACATTCACTAGATGTTTCTTATATAATACTAGTTTTATAATTAGAAAATGCATATGCACTATTTGTGTGTACATAGTATAGAAGTACCTAACTTTCCACTGCATCAGAATGGAGTGAGCAGGTCTGGAGATAGAGCAGATTGTAGCACTGTCCTCCACTGAGGAGAGTGAAAGAGATTTTCACTTGTTCCAGCACAGTGAATCATACAATGCTTACCCTCCTAACATTCACAAGATATAAGCACATGCAAGACACACAAAAGCAGCGCAGTGGAAAAATTTTCTATGGACGTCTGCAAAGTTGAAGTTACAGCATTCTCTCCCTAAGTGCATTTATGAAGTACAGTCATATCCTAATTTCATATATGGAAGAAAAACTTCCTCTGCAGAGTTAATTCTTCAATAACTTATACATAACCAAGTGATATAAAGAAAGGAAGAAAAATGTACTTATTGCTACAGTTTTTGAAAACTTGATTATATATAAGTAATATAATACCTAAAAAAAATGCATTGGCAAGTCATAGTCAAGACTGGCTTTCCTACACTAAGCAGTTGTTTATCATGCAGTACTATTTTCCTATTTCTCATTAAATTCCATGAGTCAGGATAACCAGCCAATAGAAACAGTGACCTAGGTATCTAGTGAGTTTAAAAGAGCTAAAAGGCAGAGAGAAATTAATTATACAAAGAGAGGAAAAAATTTCCAGAGCACAGTTGTTTTTCTTTAATATCAGTGTGAATTTATGTTCATGGCCAAAAGAGATGGACAGATCCCAGAGTATCAAAATCCCAACTTTTCACTGAGAGGAAGGGTCTTACACTACACCAAGACTGTGTTTGTACCAAAAGCCAAAAGTTTTTAGCCTTGTACACACTTTGTGTGCTGCCAAGGCCAATTGCCCTCATATTCAAAATACCACCACATTTTTCAGAGCTTTACCTAAAAACAAGAAACAGAGCTACCTTATTGTATAGGTAGGCCCTGGGAGTGGCTAGGGGAAAGAGGTTGAAGGCTACACTCCAAACTTTCATGGAGCATTTGGCATGAGTATGAATGTGATGAGTCTGATTCCACATGCAACACAGGCTTACTCATTACTTTATGTGCATATTTTACTCTACCAGTTAGATATTTCTCTATATCCTAAAAAAAAGTATCATAAATCAGAAATATCTTATGCATTTAAAGCCAGGTGCCTGTGTTTCACACCTGTAATCCTAACTACTCAGGAAGCTGAAATCTGAGGATTGTGGTTCTAAGCCAGCCCAGGAAGCAAAGTCTATGAGACACTTGTCTCCAATTAATCACCAGAAAACTGCAAGTGGGGCTGTGGCTCAGTGGTACAGCACTAGCCTTGAGCAATAAAGCTCAGGGACAGCACTCAAGCCCTGAGTTCAAGCCCACGACTGACCAAAAAAAGCACTTAAAACCCAACTTATGTGTAACTTTGCAACATAGCTCATTGCAGTATTCATTGTTGTCCCTTGAGATCTGGAAGTTGTGTTCATTTTAGCTCTTGTCATCTGAGGGCTGATACCCAGCATCTCAAGAGATGAGAATGATCAAGATTTAAAGTACATTTTTACAGAATGTAAATCATTTTCCACCACTATGAAGTTAAACTGTCAGTAAATTGGGGACATCTCTAAATTACTACCAAGGTACTCAACAAAACTGCTGCATATTGAAATAGAAGATTAGATTATCTGATCTTTAAATTCTTTCCCACCAAGAGATCTCATTCATCTAGATCACTTTAGACCCATGCACAAACTACAAATTTTTTGTGCCTGTTTTATCATTTGCTCATAGTCTACCACACAATAACATCATCCACAGCTTGTCCTAATGGCATGACGCTCAACTCTGAGTCCCTAGAAACACATCATTTTCCCTTTCTCTTTACTTGCCCATTTCATGTCACCATGCAACTACCTGTTGAGATAACCTTATGTTATTACCAATGAGACACCCCCCCCCCCCCCGCAAACAACAAGCAATTTGCTCATGGTCACAGATATAAAGTATTAGGACTTTGTAATGCTTTTAACTGATCTTAAGACATATGAACATGCTATGTATATTGGACCTCAAATTTGGGGAAAAAAACCAGTTCAAAATCTAAAAATGTCAAGACTAGAAATTCACGGTGACTTAGCTCCATCTATAGTAGAAACTGTACACATACCTCACTGAAAAGGCTTCCATTAACATATGAGATCCAGAGTTTCCAGAAGTTAGGCAACTGACTTAAAACAAGCTTGGTTAATTTTTCAACAAATGCCACTCTGTGGGGAGTTTTGTATCTCCATGCTAAGGAAGAGAAGAACAAAATACCTGAGAATACACTCTGAATCAAGAATATAGATCTATTTGTACATATTACCCCTATAACCCTGGCCCCAAACCAAAATATTCAGATGTAGCCTTGATATCTGGCCAGCACACACAATGGCCACTCTGACTGGGGAGATGCAACAGTACTGTATTTCTCACTTAGCATCCTGAGCACAGTAGAACCCAGAGGACCCTCAGCATTTTTCCCTCTGATAAAGAAGTGATCCTATTAGTATCATGGCTGGCAAGGTCTAGACTTATTTACTAGGAAGTTAAAGTAAAAGCAATCTAGGCATGTATCTTCTACATACAGATGCCTATATAGGCACATGTATCTTCTACATATAGGTATCTATGTAGGTAGCTGTATCTGTACATATCTCTATTCTATACACACACACACACACACACACATATACTCACACACACACACACACACACACACACACACACACACTCTACAAATAAGTCTCTGAGTAGTCTAATGTGAAGATTAATCTCTAGCATAAAAGATAAACAGAATTCTGACTTCGTTGATTTAAGAAAAGTTCCTCAGCTGGGCACTAGTGGATCACACTTGTAATCCTAGCAATTCAGGAGGCTGAGATCTGAAGAGCACACTTTAAAGCCAGCCTGGGCAGAAAAGTCCATGAGACTTTTATCTCCAATTAATCAGCAAAAAGCCGATGTGAAGGTGTAACTCAAGTGGTGGAGTGTTAGCCTTCAGAGAAAAAGCAATTCAGAATGTGAAGCTCTGAGTTCAAGGCTTAGTACTAGCACACACACACGAAGAACTACTTCTTTAAAAACAGAAAATAAATAGAAAGTTAACTTCAGATTGAAGTGATTGTATAAGGATGAGTATTTAAACAACTGTACATAAAAATATAGCAAATCAATTCCAAAAGATTGCTTGCTTTGGTAGATTAACCAGTAAAAGTATTGTCTGAGTTGACCCCAGTAAGGGATATTAATATAGCTGTTATAGAGTGTTGTCAGATAATCCTCTTGTGCTGGAATTTCTGTAAATAATTAATATGTGTCCATTCATTAGATAAGTTTGCTGAAAAATAGCTGGGCTCCTACAGCCTCCTGATCAGTGACATAACTTTTCTTAGGATTGTGTTCTATTAGATATTTTTATTATCTGAAAATTCTTCTTCGTAGCAAGTATGAATGTAATAGAGTCCTTTTTAGTTCATCTTTGCTAAACAAATCCAAATTCTGATATGAAAGTTGAAAAATGGATTTGGATTTTCTTTTCTTAGAAAATCTAACATATTGTTAGTGCTGACAAAATCTCAAGAGTAATTTCCTAAAAATGGAAAGAGGAGTAAAGGGGGTATGGCAGGAATGTCTATTTTGTGTAACAGAAATTACAAAGTTTATGGATTTTGTTATAATAATAAAGATGTATGTTTCTATTTCAAATAACTTTGGAGAAATTAAATTTGATTGATCTGAGTTGCAGTTCTAGCCACACACTGAATTAACGTGAACTGGACCTCAATCTAGCCATCAATGACTACAAAACTGTTTTCACACCCAGGCAGCAGGCAACATGGGCCTGAGATCCTTGAGGTGGGGAAGACATGTGCAAGAGCTGCACTGTTGGATAGTTTCTGATTATGGAAAAATGATAATGGCTGCTAATTTTTAGCACCAGTAACATCCCTAGTCATAGAATTTTGCAAGAGGGAAGATTTTTTTAAATCACAAGCCTACAGATCAAAAAACAAAACAAGGAGGAGTAGCTAGGGGTGGTGTGATACTCACTGTCATCTCGACTAGACTGAAAGCTGCTGCCCCTCTTTAGTGATGCCGTCTGACTGAGATGGCCCAACATGGAGGGACGTACCTCATTATCAAGATCCAACATGGGACTATGCAGGCTTGGGTTTCCTGGAAAAGAAGTGATATTCCCACATATTTTATAATATACTCTTATTTTGCTGATTTAATGCACTAATTCTCTGAGGCTTTTTCTTGCTCAATTCTTCTACTCTTTTAAACAAAGTAATCATTAAGTAAAATCTAAAATTTTTCCTCTACAATCTTATATTCCATTTTACTTTATTTTTGCATGGTGCTAGGCTGGAGTTCTAACATGGACAATCCTAAATAACTTTTAAGTTATTTCCCATAACAAACTGGAAGGACTCAATCCATAATTCCACATAGAACTGATGCATCATTTTAGAGTTAAAATAGGAGGTAAAATCATTTAAAATACAACTTGTCACTTGAAAAGAATTCCACAGTTTCACTTTTCTGTTTCATTTAATGTAGTAGACATATCAATTTTTATAGCATAAATCTTCTAATTCCTTCCTTAATGCTACAACTTACATTTAAATACTACTGTTTCCTTCTTTGGGATGTGGAATTTGATTCTATATTTCTATTCCTGAAGCCAGCCACCTAGACACTTTTCACCTTACAATGTTACTATTCCAACATTCTACCAGTGTCAAAATATTCTCTTTGGGATCCTGTGTTAATCACACATTAAAATACTGCTTTCTAGCTAGGCGTGGTGATGCATCCCTGTAATCCCAGCACTCAAGAGGACTGTGAATTCAAAGACATCATGAGTTATATAGCAAGATTCTGCCTCAAATAAATTCATAAATAAATACACAGATAAATTTATGAAACAAATGAAATATTGCCTTCTTGCCTCTCTTCTCAGAAGTCCTCCAGAAAAACCCTCAAGATACATATATACCAGTGTTTTCCAATCAAATTATCCTGAGAATCTAAAAATCATTTTTCTAAAATGGGCTTCAAGAACTATGAGGAATGAAAATACTATGCACCAATGGGGTTTATAAGAACATTGGCTTTAAGTAGAAAGATTTTGCTTTGTTCATCTACACAGGAGCCTGCAAAATCCATGCTAACCTTTAGTTGAGCATTTGAAGATCTTCAAAACAAATTGAATTCAACAAACATTTGCAGAATTTTACTATGAAAAAACAAAATGCTTAAATAGGGATACAGGTTGACCCATGGTAACAATGAGATGTACAAGACACTATGTTGAAAAATGAACTTTACAATTTAGGCAGGGAGAGGAGGGGGGGGAGTGTAGTTGTGGAGGTGGGAAGGAAGGGAAGGTAGGGGAAAAACGAAGGAGGAGGTAACAATGCTTGATAGGAAATGTACTTATTACCTTGCTCACGTAACTAACCCCTCTGTACAGTATTTTTACAATAAAAAACGTATTTTAAAAAAAGAAGATGAAAAGACACACAAAATTCCCCCTACAAAAACAAAGCCAATCAACTAACAAAAAATGTTCTATACTACAAAAAAATGTAATATAAAGACAGGTATAGTGTTGTATATCTGCTGCCCAGCTACTTAAGCGGCTGCAAGGTGCAAGGAAGGAGGATAATTTGCACTGAGGAATATGAAGCTAGACTCGGTAACAGACACATTTCAAACAAAAACAAGTATGCTTAAGGTTCTGGGACCAAGTCCTAGAACTGAGGAAAAAAATTTGTATTTACTGTAATAATATTTTCTTGTCTTATTTGCTATCTTCTCCACATGCAAGACTCATTGTTCATCAACTTTAACATTTTTGCTTAAAGACTGAACTTGAATTATTCTTTCTTTATAGACATCTCTTACTGTTCAGTGCTACCTATCTCCTCTGCTTTGACAGTGGTCAGAGCCAGCTTCAACTTCATTGACAAATCACTTACTGCTTATTCCCAAAACACATCACTGTCCTCTTGGGGATGAGAACTAAATGTTATTATCACTGTGTTCCCCACCATCACTGGACAATCCCCAGATTTCTTAAAATGAGGAATAACTATATTCCCTCCAATTTTACATTTTAACAGAATTTTTAAGCTCATAGGTTTATTTTCATGTGCTAAAGTAAAACACATTTATAAGTGAATAATTTAATATTTTAATCAAGCTATCCCTTTATTTTAGTAAGAGAATAAGATGATTTTGTTTATTATAATAATAGCTACTCAATAACAATAACTGAGCATGTTACATGTGCCAGAATACGTAGAACCTATAGATAAAGTAATGAATAACTGATGAGGCCCTATTCTCAAGGACTTTACATTCTCATGGCAGAGGTAGAAAATAAATGAATACAAAAACAATAAAGAAAAAGTACAACATATTATGCAGAGAACCTGGGGAGTGGATATGATGGAATTGAGTAACTAGGTAGTCAGGAAGGCTTGGTTTCGTAGGACCCTGCTATCATGGGCCACCTCACATGGTACAGTATTAGCACAATTCTACCCACTATGCTTTATAGAAATAGAAATTCGGTCATTTGGAAATATTTTTTAACTGTTTTGAAGACTATGTTCTAACCAGAGTGCTAAATGCTGTATGTGCATATCTGAGATGATAAGATTTATATAATATATAAAATGCTAAAACAAAAATTAAGTCACATGTATTGCAGAGTAAACAATACAGGCAGTGAGAAAACAATATATAACTAATTCTATATTAACTACAGGGTTCGTATGTGGAAAATTTAATGACGGATAATATTTTTCTTTGATGTTTATGCCATTTCAATATTAATTCAGGCAGGAAGTTAATATTAAAAATAAATTTTGTGATGTAAGAGAAACACAAAGGGGCTTACACTTAAAATCACATTTTAAAAATATATAAAAGAATTCATAATTTATACAAACATGTATAACAAATGTAAGAAAAGAATGTTGACATGTTAAAACAATTCCTGTCAAAAGAGAAGGTATTAACTGGAGGGGGAGGACAAATGGACGGGTGAAAACTGTAAGAAAAGAATGTTAACATGTTAAAACAGTTCCTGTCAGAAGAGAAGGTACTGACTGGAGGGGGAGGACAAATGGACGGGTGGAAAGAAGGTGAATATGGTCAAAATACTTCATATATATATATATATATATATATATATATATATATATATGAAAATGGAACATGAAGCTTGTTAAGACTAGTTTGTGAAGGGAGGGGTGAAATGAGAGTGACAGAGGGGGTGAATTTATTGAAGATACACTGTATACATACATGATGTCAAAATGGCCTAATAAAAAGTGTGGCTAAAACTGGAAAGAAAAGTATTACAAGTTGCTTCTGCAGGTTTCAGGACTAAAAATCTGATAAAGAAGAAAGTACTTACTACATTCCATTCTTCTAAATAATGCAATTACTATTGCTTAAGCATATCTTCAGAAAATTATGTCTCTCCATAACTACTATTTGACAACTTTAAGTGGTTTAATATTTAAATTAATCATTTATGTATTTTAAGCAAGTCTTTATGTACTTTAAGCAAAACTCTTTTACTAATAAAAGCTATATGAGAAATATGCTTTTGTTCATTAGAAACCACATCTCAGTCCCTTGTGAAATCAGGAAAAGAAAAGCTAAACAGGAAATCATTCCTTAACTGCAAGTCTATCAGCAGCAGTGGCAAACAACAGACAGAAGGAAGCTAGAATGGCACAAGCAGCAAGTCAATGGGCATCTGAAACACATTCTGAACTTAAAGGCCAGAAGGTGGCACTCCAACACTGCATATAAATACATGAACCCTACAAGTGATGTAAGTACTGACCTAGAAAGAAATTCACTTCTCTCAACAACATTTTACTCCTTTTTCTATCCAAAAAAGGTCTTACAATATACTATTTTACAAGCAATGAGAGTTATGCTTTGGACAGAAAATCTATGCAAACATTTAAATATCAGTTGTCACAAAGTATTTACATTTAAGTATAAAAAACAAAATCAAAATCGTCCAAGGATTCTGACAATCAAACTTCAATTACATGATTTGATTTTTTTGTGCCACCCTGGGGCTTGAACTCGGGGTCTAGGTGATGTCTTTGAACTTTTTTCACTCAAGGCTAGTGCTTTACCACTTGAGCCACATAATTTCAGGCATTTTGGGGGCAGGGAATAGTTTATTAGAGATAAGAGTCTTAGAGCCTTTCCTGTAGTCTGCAGATCTCAGCCTACTGAATAGCTAGGGATGATTTGATATTTTTATCCCACTAAGCTATTACAAATATGAAACTATTTTAACAATTAGTATTAATATAAGAAGAAAAATGACTTGTAAATTACAATATCAGCAAAAAGCTTTAAAATATTTCATAAGAATTAGCCTATTTTTCTATCTCAGGGTATATTTAGGAGAAACATATATATACTCGATAAAGCATTTGGTTATAAATGGTTATATATAACTAATAGGAAATGTTCCTTATATCATGCTTTCATGATGTATATATCATCTGCAAGTGAAATGATGTCTTGGTGGATTTTTGCTGAAAACTGAGGGTAACAGTCAACTATATCCACACAACTGTGGTGTGTTAGCTTGCGAGGAACATTAGTAGGCAACAGAGAATAAAGCTGTGTTTGACTGTTTTTTGACTGCATTAATGCAAAATTTGACAGGTTATTTGTTTTCTCAGTAGTAAGTTTTCTCTAGAAATAAAATCTCCCTATGACTTCTTTTGGGTGAGAGGGCAGTAGAAAAAAGCCATGTTTGTTTTGTTCTGAGTGTTGGGAGATCAAATTCTGGTCTCACACTAACATTGGGTTATATCCCTAGCATTATAGAACACACACACACACACACACACACACACACACACACACACACACACACACACACACACACACACTTACTTCTGTCAATGAGAAGTATAAGGGGTAAGAAAGAGTAACAGGAACAGGCTAAATTTAAACAAAGTGCGTAATATGCATGTATATCAATACTATAAGGAAACCCTTCTATATAACTAATTTATGCTAACAAGTTGTTTTTTAATTGATACTTTAAAAAATTAGCTATAGAATTCTGATTAAATGAATGTCTGAAGATTAAGTGTTCAATGAACACCATTAAC